ACAAATAGATCCAGAGTATAACTTCTTGGAGTTGGTAACTACTAAGCTACTAAGTCAAATATATATACATTCTAGAAGTTGATATACATTGCTACATAGCTTATCAAGGTGATTACAATCAGAGGGCAGGAGAATCCTTGTTTTACCTCACATTTGTCAACACTGGATGTCACCAAACATTTTTAATAGTTTACAGTCTGAGAGATAAAAATTTTATCTTAGTCTGCTTGGGCTGCAATAACAGTCTACCATACACTGTGTAGTTTAAATAACAAAAATTTATTTTCTCATAATTCTGGTGCCTGAAAGGCCAAGATCATGGTCCAGTATGTCAGGTTCTAGTGAGACCCTATGATTCTCTACAGTGCCTCCTGGAGGGTTGCTCCCATGGTAGAAAAATGAAGAGGCTGAGGGAGAAGTGTGCTTTCTGATCTCCTGTAGCTCCTCAGAGAAGGGCACTAATCCCAGCATGGGACCCACCCTTATGAGTCCATCTATCTCTAACTGCCTCCCAGAGTCCCTACATCCAAATAACACCACACTGGGGGTTAGAGATTCAACACATGCATTTTGCAGCCCTCAGTCTTGAATGCAGTAATTACTGAGGCAAAGCCTCACATTTTCCCACCCTGAGGAACTTGTTTTGATCCAGGTCCAGCATTCTCATTTTGAACACATCAAGTGGCAGGGCCATGACTGGTAGCAAAGTACGCTTCCGGAGCGAGAGGCAGGCACAGGCACAGCACTCATACCCGGGTCCACTCCGCAGGGGGGTCTCGGGGTCCCTTCGGCCTTCCGATGCGCAGGTTGAAGCCTGGGAGAGGAAGGTTGCCATGGAGTCCCATGGTGAAGCTGAGGCTCAGAGAGGCAGGCACCTTGCGCGCCCTCCTGGTTTACTACAGCTCTATCCACAGGTCTCCGAGAGCCCCAGCTCCTGCCCTAACTCCCAAACTCCTGGGGTTCACTCAGAACTGCAGGGCGTGTCCGTGCCCCAAGCTCTGTCTTACCTAGCCCACTAGTCTGAGCTCCATTGGTCACATCCTCATAAGCATCAGGACCAGCAGTGCTTTGGTCAGCAAGACCTGCGGGCAGGAGACACACAGAGGGGCAACTGAGGCAGTCCTAGAGAGTCTCTTGCTCTACCTCGCCTAAGGAAGGAAGCCTACAGGAGGCAGTTCCCTGAGGGAGACTGCGGCATGACCACAGCGGCTAAGTGGAGACAACCACCTTTGGGACACAGGGTAACTAGGTGAGCTACCACCTCCAGAGGCCGAACTACGATCTAGGATCTGACTGGTATCTACTTCAGAGTAAAAAGACCTGCATGCATTTGGGGGCGTGGCCAAGGAGCCAGGTCAGCCTCCTGGGCGGGGTCAGGCCAAGGTAGGGGGCTCAGTCAGGTGACCTCAGGTGCCCTGAGGACCCAGCAGGTTGGGGTAGCAAGGAAGATCAGGAATGCGCAGCTCCACCACACCCACCAGCCTCTACTCACCTAGGCCAGGCAGCGCCCCCTGCGTGTCCTCCGCAGGCGCCCTGGATACCTGGGCGCGCGCCGTTACCTGGCTGTAGAGCGGCTTGTGGACTGTGCTGCGCTCCCGAGACCCTGGTGCTGCGCCTGCGGGGTCCCCACGTTTCTGCACCACTGCGTATGTGTCCGCCATGACGAGGGTCTGAGTTGCAGGCATCGAGATGCTCCTACAGGCCGGGAGCAGAGGAAGTGAAACCGCAGCTCCGACAAAGGGAAGGGTGGGGTGAGGGCTGAGCCCTAACCGCGGGCTTCCGTCTTGCCCCAGCGGACGCCGGAAAGGAGGAAAGGGGCGGGCCGGGCTCAGAAAAGAAGACGGGGTCTCTGGTAAAGGATTTGGCTTCAGTGTCCTAGCACTCCACAGTTAGGTGGAGACCAGGGCCAGCCGGGCAGGTACGTGGGGTTGGGTACCGGTATCGATGGGTGATCTATGTGAATAAAGGAATGAAGTGGCATTTTAGGGTAGGAGGGGGTCGCTCTGGCTTGAAGGGTGAGGGGTGAAGCTGCTGGGGGGAAGATCAGCTGTGTTAGTAGCACCAGACGTGAGCATCAAGAACAGCTGCCGAATTCATTACTGACTGGAGAAATGAGGAGTGGGCTGACTGAGTGTAGGGCTAGCCTTGCAGGCAGAGGGCAGTGGGGTCCTTGGGATCAAGGAGTCCTGCGTGGGAAGGTTCCTAGAGCTCGTTCAAAGAAAGGGCCAACAATATTGGGTGAACTGAGGGACAAGGGACTCGTCTGGGAGTCTGAGAAATTGAAAGGTGAGAGAGGTTGTTGCCGGTACCTGAGGACCCTGCCTGGTGGGCAGGGGATTGCAAGAAGGGCCGGGAAATTGGAGAGGGCATCATCGTAGAGTGGGGCACAATTCTGGAGGAAAACAAGGGCAGGGTCATGAGGCTTAGGAAGAAACTGGCCAGGCTCCTCTTGGGGGGTCACGATGGCCCGTTAAGATGAGTGTAAGAGAGGCAGCCGGATGAGGGAGTCCAGAGGCAGAAGAGGAGGCTGGTACAGGGAATTGGTGCCTGCTCTTGGAAGGAGTGCAGGGCCTTGAGGCTGTCCATGGTGGGCAGGAAGAGAGTGCGAAGTGACCTCTGTACCTCCTTGAGGTTCTGGTACTGGGGGCTGGTTTTCTGGAGTGCTGAGTAGAACATCTGAGCCACTGTGTGGTGCAGGAACCTGTACTGCTCCTGTTGGAATGAGGGGTCATCAAGAAGGGAAGATAAGGGGAGGGAGGAGGAAGCTTGTGTCCTTGGGAATGAGGAGACCCGGGCCACACCTCTGTCTGCACAACTGAAGGCCGCTGCTTCCGCATCTCAAGGACCACATCAAAAAGGCTGAAGTCGGGTGGGATCCTCTGGGGCAGAGAGACCAGTGTGTGAAAAGAACCACATGGGCACGAGCCACTCTGCACAGCACAGGTGCCCTCATCATACCTGGGTCAGGAGCAGTTGCCTCACATAATCAATTGTGCACAGGACACCTGTTCGCCCGCAGCCAGCACTGACAAGCGAGAACCAGAACAAGCTTAGTTAGGGCCTGCACACAATCCTTTTTCTTTTCTTTTCATTTTGATTGATTGGCTGATTGATTGATTGGTTGAGACAGTGTCTATGTAATTCAGGCTGGCCTCAAACTCCTGGTGATGCTCCTGCCTGAGCCTCCCAAGTGCTCAGATTGCTGGTGTGTTCCACACCCCTTTTATTTTTTATTTTTTAGTACTGGGGAACAAATTTGTGCTTGCGAGGCAGGTGGTGGCACCACTGAGCTAAATCCCTGACCCTACAGACCCTTTTAAATGGAGGTATTTGGAGCTCAGGTGAGGGACCTCCCAATCTGCAGAATCCTTGTATTACAATTTCAAAGCAGAATTTTTTAAATCACATATTTATTGTGCTTACTCCCCAGCAGGCAATACATGCTAATAGTGTCATTCCATGCAGCATGACCAAGTATGACCTTGCAGTTCTCAAAATGTTTCTCAGGCGGGCAAGACTGGCTATTAGGGAAGACTGGCTGTGAGCTTTGCTCCCCACTCCCACCACTTCTACCTCACCAGAGCCTCATGAAGTGTGTTCCCTAACCTGCAGTGGACACAGAGGGGTCTGGGGCTAGATCCTTGGAGGCGTCGGGCTTCCTCTATCATGGTGAGTATGGTGTCAGGATTTCTGGGGACCCCACGGTCTGGCCAGGACATGTACTGCAGCTGGTGCACAGAACGGGATTCCTGAGACAGAGGACCAAAGAGAAGAGGGTATAAAAGCATTTACCAAGTACCTGATACAGGCAAAGCCCAGTTTTAAGCATCTTCCATTTCAGTCTGCCAGAAATGGCTTGGGGGAGTAGTTGAGTAATAGATCACTTGCCTTGGATGTTCAAGGCTTTGAGTTTTAGCCTAGCACCACAAAGAATAAAATCCACCAGATAATAACTGAGGAAGTGAGTACTATTGTGAACACCCTTTTTACAGAGCAGGAAAGAGCTTTGCTCCTGCAAGAACACCTTACCTCCTCCTCCCTTTTCAGTACCTTCTGGAAGGTGACTTTGAGGGTCCTGAGGATGATGTCTGCATTTAGTCGTGTTTCCTTTGTCTGAGTTTGTGGGCAAGTGGGAAGAGAAAAAACAAGAAAGACAATGAATATGCCAAAAGACACACTCATAGAAGCAAAACATTTTTTATTTATTTAAAAATACAAGTAAGCATAAAACTCATTTAGCCCAAACACTCTCTAAAGCTTTCATGAAGGAAATATTTGACAGAGAAGAAAATGGTATTATACAAACCTATACAAGCTCACTTACAGTGAACAAAAAGAGACATATTTTGTTTTAAAACAAAAGTTTCAATATGTTTATTAAGTGCTAATTGCATGTGTGAAGAAAAATTTCCCTAAGTTGTGAAATGATAAAAGAAATAATGGTTTCAAGAACCCAACCAGGCATATTTACATTATAGAGATGACTGTGAAAGAAGCCAAAATAAAAATGCTGAGGGCTGGGGATGTAGCTCAGTTGTAGAGAACTTGCTTAGAAAGAAGAAGGCCCTGGATTCCATCCCAAGCACCAGAAAACAAACAAACAAACAAAAATGCTAAGGCAATGCCTCATTCTGAGTTCTGACTATTTGTAGGCTAATATCAGTGCATTCTCTTAGTTTTCCACAGCATGAGGGAGTTAGGGAAAGGATTAGTACCTTCTGGTTAAGTCCAAAGACTTTCTACCCTGCATACTTTCCTTGAAACCTCCCATAACACCCAAGACCTATAGAACCCTGTTCCCAACTCTGCCTCAGCTCACCAGAGCGATGCTGAAAGGCCCGATCTGTAGTGGTTCTTCTTCCTGTGGCCAGTAACGTTCACACTTTTTCTGTAAAGGGTAAGAAAAGAAGGGCAGGCAGTGAGGAAGGGGATAAAGCTTCAGGCCACACCCCCACAACACAGCCAGGTGCTGCTGGTGGAAGTACAGGAAGCAGTGGCTGCCCAGAGGCCTGCCACATTGTATCTCTTTAAACACATGCAGCCTCTAGAAGCAAGCTAAAAACCATGTCCTACTGGAACACAGTCCAGAAGATTCACTTAAAGCAGCAAAAAAACTGGACAAAATGCATAAGCCATTATTTTCCACCACTGGCTATCAAACATTACAGGAATCAGGTTGTTAATGACTACCTAAAGGCGTCACTGGGTTGCAGGACAGAGCACAGTGATCCCACTAAATTGAAAAGCTAGAGATCATGACTCAGGGAAGCCAATGCAGGTATAATTTGTAGGGTAGAATGTTGGGGGAGAGTTATGTAAACAAGACTGGAAAAAAACCTCAAGAACCTTCATGGGATTTGCAGACAAAGTGGATTTCAAAGCAAGACTGATTAAGAAAGACAAAGAAGGTAACTGCATCCTGGTAAAGAGAACAATCCAAGAAGAACAGATAACTACCATAAATATATATGCATCAAATAGCAGTGCAACCAACTACATAAAACAAATATTAAAGGACATGAGAAATCATATAAGCACTAATACAATTGTAATGGGGGACCTCAATACCTTGCTTTGCAAATAGATGGACTAGACAAAAAATCAATAATGAAATATTACATCTGAACCAAAGTTTTGAACAAATGGACTTAGTAGATGTCTACAGAGTGGCTCACCCCACAACATCAGAATACACATTCTTATCAGCTGTAATGGGATGTTCTCCAGAAATTACTACATACTAGCCCATAGAACATGCTTAAGTAAATGCAAAGTAATTGAAATTATCCCATGCATATTATCAGACCATAGTGGAATGAAATTAGAAATCAATGGCAAACAACCACAAGAACTTCATAAACACATGGAAATTAACACCCTCTTGAACAACTGATGAGTCACAGATGAAATTAAAGAAGAAATCAGTTTCTAAAATTAAATGATAATGACAATATACATACCAGAATTTATGGGATACAATGAAAGTAGTCCTAGGAGAGAAATTTAAAGCAGTGAATACCCATATCAGGAAAACAGAGCAAGCTCAAATAACCTAATGCTGAACCTCTAGCTTCTAGAAGAAGAACAAAAAGTCAAGCATAAAGCTTGTATGAAGGAGGAAATTATTAAAATCAGAGCAGAAATTAACGCAATGGAATATAAAAGAAAATACAAAGAATCAATGAATTGAAGAGCTGGTTCTTTGAAAGATTAAATCAAACTGACAAACCCTTAGCCAATCTTATCAAAAAAGGGTGAAAAAAGACATAACTCCATGCAAATAGGAATCAAAAGACTGAAATCATAACAGACCCTGCAGCAATTCAGAAGATCAATACCTCCTTCAAGAACCTATATTCTAATAAGATGGAAAATACAGGACAAATGGACAAATTCCTATGTACATATGAATTACCAAAACTGAATCAAGAATATATAAAAATTCTAAATAAATAAATATCAGCCGATGAAATTGAAGATGTAACTAAAAACCTCCCAACAAAGAAAAGCCCAGGCCCTGATGGATTCACTGCTGAATTCTACAAAAAATCTAGAGAAGACCAAATGCTACTACTTCTCAAACTCTTTAATGATATTGAAAGGGAAGTAATACTTCCAAATTCATTCCTGAAAGCAAGCGTTGTTTTAATACCAAAAGCAGAAAAGGATACAACTAAAAAGGAGAACTACAGGCCAATCTCCCTAATGAACATATATGCAAAAATCCTCAGTAACATACTGGCAAACAGAATGGAGAAGATCAAGAAGATCATACACCCTGACCAAATGGGATTCATTCTGGTGATACAGGGATGGTTCAACATATGCAAATCAATAAATGTAATACATTGTATTGGGCCAGAGATTTAGCTCAGTGGTACCGTGTCTGTCTCACAAGGGCCTGAGGTACTGAGTTTGATCTCCAGTACTGCAAAAGAAAAAAAAAAGTAATACAGTATAGTAACAGAGCCAATGACAATCATATGATCTCAAGAGATGTAGAAAAAGGTCTGATAAAAAACAAACCCTACAGAAAATCAATAAAAGTATCTTTATCTTAATCTGATAAAAGCCATCTCTGAAAAAACATCTTTTATTTTTATTTGTTTATTTATAAAAAAAATAAATTATATTTTATAAAAATAAAATTGAACTCAGGCACTTGTACTTGTGAAGCAGGTGGCAGAACCACTGAGCCAAATGCCTGGCCCCCAACAGTCTACATCATACTAAATGGACAAAAACTGAAAGCTTTCACTCTAAAATCAGCAAAAAGACAAGGATATCCACTGTCACCACTCTTGTTCAATATAATTCTGGAAACATTAGCTAGAGCAATTGGACAAGATAAAACAATAAAAGGAATAAGGATAGGAAAGGAAGAAGTTAAGTTATTATTTGCAGATGACATGATACTCTGCATAGAAGACCCCAAAAACTCCATCAAAAGACTTCTAGATTTGATGGCCAAATTCAGCAGCATAGTTGGAGACAAAGTCAACACTCAAAAATCAATATCATTCCTGTACATAACAAATTCACTGAGAGATAAATTAGGGAAACAACACCTTTCTCAATGGCAAGCAAAATGAAATACCTAGGAAATAATCTAACAAAGGAAGTGAAAGACTCTACATTGAAAATTACAGTACTCTGAAGAAAGAGATGGAAGAGGATATAAAAAAATGGAAAGATATCCTCTCCTCTTGGGAGGAAGGACCACTAGAGTGAAAATGGCCACACTTCCAAAATTGTTATTCAGGTTAAATACAATCCTAATTAAAATTCCAACAGCATATCTCACAGAAGTAGAAAAAAGAAGCTTTAAAATTTATTTGGAACCAGAAACAGACATCAAAGGCAATTCTGGGTAACAAAGACAACGCAGGGGGTATCACAATCCCTGACCTAAAATTATGCTACAAAGCTACTATGATAAAAACAGTATGGTACTGGCAAAAGAACAGACCTGAAGATCAATGGAGCAGATTAGAAGATGCAGAAACAACTCCAGATATACTTAGCCACCTTATCTTTGACAAAGGAGCCAAACAACTTCACTGGAAAAAAGACAGCCTCTTTAATAAATGGTTTTGGGAAAACTGGCTTTCCATGTGCTGAAGATTGAAACTAGACTCATATCTTTCACAATGCACTAACATAAAATGGAAATGGATTGAAGATCTAAATAGTAAACAAATACTAAATCTCATGGAAGATAGTAGAACACTTGAGTACATCAGAGTAGGCAAAGACTTCATGAACAAATCCCAGACTGCATGAAAAAATACTACAAAGAATCAACAACTTGGACCTTGTTTTAGTAAAAAGCTTTTGTACAGCAAGAGAAACTTCCAAAAGAATGACGAGACAACCCACATTGTAGGAATTTTTTTTTTTGCCATCTCTTCCTCAGACAAAGGACTGTTATCTAGAATATGTAAAGAACTAAAAAACCAAAACAAAATAAAAAACTAAAAACAGATCCCTCAAATTTAAAGACCCATTCCAAAAATGGGCATCTGAAATGAATAAACACTTTTCAGAATAAGTAGAAATAACAAATAAATATATGAAAAAATGTTCAACACTCCTGATCATTTGACAGATGTAAATTAAAACAATGCTGAGATTCCATCTCACTCCATAAAGAATGGCTGTTATGAAGAAATCAACCAATAACAAATGCTGGAAGGTCTGTGGGGAAAAAAGAACCCTTCTCCACTGCTGGTGGGAGTATAGACTGGTGCAACCACTGTGGAAATCAGTGTGGTGAAAAAAGAACCCTTCTCCACTGCTGGTGGGAGTATAGACTGGTGCAACCACTGTGGAAATCAGTGTGGTGATTCCTTAACTAAAACTAGTGGTTCCATTCAGTCCAGCTATTCCCCTTCTTGATGTCTTCCCAAAAGAGTTAAAAGCATCCCACCACAGCAATATATTCACATCCATGTCTATAGTGGCACAGTTTGTAACAGCTCTATCTTGGAAACAAACATCTATCAACCAATGAATGGGTAAAGAAGACTTTTTTTTTTTTACACAATGGAGTACTACTCTGCCATAAAGAAGGATGAACTTCAGACATTTATAGGTAAATGGCTGTACCTTGAGACCATAATCTTAAGTGAAATAAATTGAACATATATGTTCAAACACCACACTGTTTATCTGGTGTGAGAAACCAAAATTGGAAATAAGGACTAAAATGTATAACAGATATTGGGAAATGGGAAGAAAATGTTCAAATTGGAAGGGGAACAAAGGAGGAGGGAGGGACAAAAGAAGGAATGGATGTGAAAATAGAAGGAAACAATGGAAACAGCTTTTGTACAAGGGAAGGAAGAGGGGAGTGAGGAGAGGGGGGAATAGGAGAATAAAATAAAAACAAAACAAAGCAAAAGAAATCTTTATGGGGCCCACACCCCCATCTCTGGCTGAATCATTATCTGAGTACATACAGACATATAAACCAAGAAAGAATAACTTCTCATGAAAGAATGTAACTAAGAATCTCTGGGTGAATGTTTCCAAGAGTTCACAAGGGGACAGAAATAATTTATATTCCCTCCAGCTAGAACAGTGAGGCCTCATTAATTCTAAGGCACATTTAATAGAGAGCTCAGTAATCTTACATGAGAAGCAGAGTTAAATTAGTTCTAGAATAAAGATTTCTGTAGACCTACCCTAAAAAAGCTTAAAAACAAACCCCAGAGGCTGGAGGCATACCTCAGTGTCATCAACACCAAGGGAAAACACACACACACACACACACACACACACACACACACACCTTAAATGGTCAAATATCAAAAAGAAACAAAATTTCTTTTTTGGGTATACTGCTGTGGATTTAAACTCCGGGCCTCAAATATGCCAGGCATTTAC